AATCAATGTATGCCTGGTCATTTTCTTACAAATGGCTGTGAATGAACAGCAGAATGATGCTAACATCAGGCATTTACTGTTCTTGATTTACTGTGAATTCACATTATAAAGTTGTCTTTAACTGCATCTGTGAGAAATTTAGTTGTTTACTACTGTACTTGTTTTGAAGTCACCATAATAGTGATTGGTGATCTCATTAGTTTGGGCTCTTTGACCTTTATATTCATATTTCTGATCTAGTCATGTTGATGACAGCTAGAATATGAAATAAGCTAATTGTCTGACTTTAAGTTAGTCAAACTATTCTTAACATAAACACAATTTTATTTCAGCATTATTTAAGCATGAGGCTTAACCAATAACTAATTTCATTTTCATAAATGTTTGTTATGAAGCAACTGCTGAGAAACACAAAACACAACAATATTAACACTCAACAAACAAAAACAACACTTACAGCATAAACCAACATTACAGAATAAACCAGCAACACAAACTGCTAAAAGTGAACCAAAAACAAGTTCAGTAGCACAAATAAAACTCTACAGCATGAGCTGTTCATGTTGCATTGCATGATGGGAACCTTCAGAGTACATCTGCACTGTAGAAACACAGTAATGCTGTTTGCTTACAAGAAATTTCGGAGAGTGCAGTTAGATACAAGAGAAGTGCCACTGTGAAATTACTGTGAAAGTAATGCAATTATTAACCTGGAATATACTGTGTCATTCATAAGTAAAATTATCATAAAAACTTAAAGTTACAACATGTAAGATTTTTGCTTTAAAATAACCAAAAACCACAAGACCAATGTTATAAATTTTGTTGACTTATGTACTTACATTATCCCAAATATTTCCAACAATGTTTAAATCTGAAATGGTTGTCAGAGATAACGTCTTTGTAATTGTTTTGAACAAAGCAAGACTGTAACCGCTTGCTGTAGAAAAATGGCCAAATTCTGACAGTAACTTACCATTTTCTATAAAAACAGTAATATTCTGTAGAAAATTATGCATACTGGGTAATATTTGGCATTTTCGAGAAAGCAGCCTACAGGAATATACTGTGAATTAACAGAGCTCAAAGTCGACACTCAGAATCAAAATGTTCAAAATCACACCCTATACCCTCATTCACTATCCCCTACATGAGTTTACTTGACCGACTGAATGAAAGGAAGTGAGTGAATTCAGACACTGATGAACACCTGATGATAACAAGCAGAATCACTCAAGGACAAAGAAACAAGAAGAAATACAAGAACAACAACTGACTTCCAGCTTCAGCTTTAAGACCCTTTCACACGGAGTGTGAAACCAGTTTAGTTTTATTGAAAATTATAAACGTATTATTAAAAATAATGAAGTTTGTAGTTACTGTTATGGAGGTCAGTTTTTGCTTTAGTTGTGCCCATGAACCTTGATTCTTACCTCGAGACATGTTTTGTCTGCTGTAACTGTGTGTTCAAAAAGCATATTTGTTATGGCAAAAGAAATGATCAGGTGGTTTTGGTTATGCTGTCATGATGCCATAATTATAGTGGACTCATCCGAATATCTGACTTGAACCAGTGTTAAACCTTTAATAACATGGGTGTTTTATTGATTGTAGCAGTTCTGTGATTCTGCAGCATGAGACTGAACAATATTTCACAAATTTTTAAGAATTTAAAAAACATTTTGAATTTCTGCATCACTTAGACACTCTCAGCCATCTTGACGTTTTGTGATATTAAGAGATTATATATATTTGTGTTGCTTTATTTAAAGGCAGTAGCTGTGTAGTTGCTGATGCAGTGAAAATCTCCAATTGTACATGCATAAGTGCTGTATTTAACCAGTTATTACCTGCAAGAAATTAAATTAAATGTTGGTATTTTAATGGTTGTGTTTCATTCAGTTATTTTGCTTTAAGAAATATTATTTCTAAGTATTAATATGTTCACATTAAATATTCGTTTATAAACTTAATTGGCAGTTGGCCAATTTAAGGAAGTCTGTAAAATACGGTAAACTAGACCAGTGGTTCTCAAACTGGGGGCCGCGGCCCCCTGGGGGGCCACCAGATGGCGCTAGGGGGGCCGCATAGAAATTCTAGAATCTAGATTAGGAAATTATAAAAAATTATTTTACCTGTATGTAAATCAGGATTGTCAATCTATGTAAACTATATCAAAAATAATAATATCATAATAAAATAATATCAATTATACGCAGCACACTACGGAAACACTCCCTCTCACTAATGCATTCATATGAATGTAATCTTTACTGTGCTACTTTATCTGCATCTGATTTAGAACGAGCAGAAATCTGTGAGAAATATAACTCCCAAAAGACAAAAGAACTGATAAAAAAGCTGTTGTAGGAGCAATAGCCATGTGGGCAGCGCTGTGTCATATGCCATAGCTGTGCACAAGCTGTTTATCACAGCTCCAGACTTATTTGTTCATTAATGACGTCATCAGCGACTAGTCGACTTCGACTCGACTTTCATCACATAAAAGTCGACTTTAAAAAATCAGAAGTTGTTCAACCCCTAGTTGTTGGTTTATTCTGTAATGTTGGTTTATGTTGTAAGTGTTGTTTTTATTTGTTGAGTGTTACCATTGTTGTGTTCTAAACCACACAACAATGGTAACACTCATCTAAACCAACAACATGTATGCTAGACCCTATTCCATCTAAGCTCCTAAAAGAGGTGCTTCCAGAAGTTATAGATCCTCTTCTTGCTATTATTAATTTGTCATTGTCATTAGGATATGTCCCCAAAACCTTCAAACTGGCTGTTATTAAGCCTCTCATTAAAAAACCACAAAGATCTAGTTAATTACAGACTGATCTCGAATCTCCCTTTTCTGTCCAAGATACTAGAAAAGGTAATATCCTCACAATTATATTCCTTCTTAGAGAAAAATGGTATCTGTGAGGATTTCCAGTCTGGATTTAGACCGTATCATAGTACTGAGACTGCTCTCATTAGAGTTACAGATGACCTGCTTTTATCATCTGATCGTGGTTGTATCTGACCGCCATCAATTCGTAGCAGTGAATGAAGAGGTGTCATATCGATCACAAGTGCAGTATGGAGTACCTCAAGGCTCAGTACTAGGGCCGTTACTTGTCACGCTTTACATGTTACCCTTGGATAACTTTCACTGTTATGCTGATGATACTCAGCTCTATATTTCTTCGCGGCCCGGGAAACATACCAATTTGAAAAACAAACGGAATGTGTAGTCGATATAAAAAACTGGATGACGAGTAATTTCTTACTACTAAATTCTGAAAAAACAGAGGTGTTAATTATCGGACATAAAACCTCCGCATGTAATAACCTAGAACACTCCCTAAGACTTGATGGCTGCTCTGCCCATTCTTCATCATCAGTTAGGAACCTAGGTGTGCTATTTGATAGCAATCCTTCGTTAGAAAGCCACGTTTCTAGCATTTGTAAAACTGCATTTTTCCATCTCAAAAATATATCTAAATTACGACCTATGCTCTCAATGTCAAATGCAGAAATGTTAATCCATGCGTTTATGACCTCAAGATTAGATTATTGTAATGCTTTATTGGGTGGTTGCTCTGCACGCTTAAATGGAATTATGAAATTAGAAAGTGCAAATACTATTAAAATACTTTGAAAATGAGTCAATATTAAAATTTACTTGATTTTTAGTTTTTTGTTAAATACTGATGGCAGCCATATCACCCTGTAGCCCAAGACTGGTTGCCCACTGAAGCTAAGCAGGGCTGAGCCTGGTCAGTACCTGGATGGGAGACCTCCTGGGAAAACTAGGTTGCTGCTGGAAGAGGTGTTAGTGAGGCCAGCAGGGGGTGCTCACCCTGTGGTCTGTGTGGGTCCTAACGCCCCAGTATAGTGACGGGGACACTATACTGTCAACAAGCACCGTCCTTCGGATGAGACGTTAAACCGAGGTCCTGACTCTCTGTGGTCATTAAAAATCCCAGGATGTCTTTCGAAAAGAGTAGAGGTGTGACCTCGTCATCCTGGCCAAATTTGCCCATTGGCCTCTGATCATCATGGCCTCCTAACAGCGCTATATAAATGTAATGAATTATTATTATTATTATCTAAATTGCAACCAATGTCAAATGCAGAAACGTTAATTTATCATTATTAATTTTTAATCATGGTTATTAATCATGAACTCAAGGTTAGATTATTGTAACGCTTTATTGGGTGGTTGTTCTGCACGCTTAATAAACAAACTCCAGCTGGTCCAAAATGCAGCAGCTAGAGTTCTTACTAGAAGGGGACACTTAATTTCCAGCGATATCGTCGACTTGATTGCAAAGATACTATTTAAACTGAACTGTGCTGGACGATGACATCACTGATTTCAATGATGAACTGCCTTTAACTGAAAATTTAGTGTTTACTATTATCATTTTCCATTGACACACTATTTTCCTATTTGATACTGTAAAGCTGCTTTGGCACAATCTGTATTGTTAAAAGTGCTATATAAATACAGGTGACTTGACTTGTTTTGTGTGTCGAGTATTGATGATGTCACATCTTTCAAAGACATTTCTCAGCAGTTGCTTCACTATTGTGAAAGATCCATCCACAAATATTTATGAATATGAAATAAGTTATTGATTAATCTTCATGCTCAAAAAATACTAAAATTAAATCTTCATGTTTATTCTAAGAATAGTTTGACTTAAAGTCAGGCAATTATCTTATTTCATATTCTAGCTTGTCATCATTTTAACAAATGTTTTCATTTATCACACTTCTAACATGACTAGAGAAGAAATTTGAATATGAATATACAAGGTCAAAGAGTCCAAACAAATGGGATCATCAATAACCATTATGGTGACTTCAAAACAATTACAGTAGTAAATAACTAAATTTCTGTAAAAAATACTGTAATTTCAGACTAAACAGTGTAGATAACTATGTGAGGCAAATTCACAGACATTTCCTTTAGAAAACAATGTATTGCGGAAAGAGATTTTTACCTCGTACAGAAAAGAAATGCTTGCTGGGAGTGGTGAAGCCTCTCGTGCCCTGACTGTTGACTGCGCTAACTCGAAACTGGTACCACCTGTGGGGCCGGATGTCCTTCAACACGGAGCGGTCCTCGATAGTCTGGGAGAAGGGTCAGAGAGACTTTAATTAAGACAAATCCGCTCCTGATGCAGGATGGAAGAGCTCCATCACTGCTGTATGCTGATAAGAGTCACAGTAATGACAGCTCGATCCAGCGCAGGGAGATCTCTCTTGTTGAAAAGCACAGCTCAGACGTCCCTATCCATTACATCACGGATCCCACCGGGAGCTCACACACAGCACAATGAGCTGCCTGTCTCTTAATCTCCTGAGAAGACCAGTCATTTTCAGCACTGCTTTACTGAAGAAAACACTCATTTAAGTGTGATTAAAAAAAATAAAATTCTGAGCGGTTTTCAATTCAGTGAACAGCATTTCTGGTATCGTGTTTAGCAAAGAAAATGATTCTGGCTTTCCCTCAGTGTAAAGAGTAAAAGGAGTGAAAAAGCAGCACACTTAAGCATACTTTTAAAAAGAGTACTTTTTACGGAAATAATATACTTTAAACGAATAAAAGAATATACATAAGTGTGAACTGAATGTAATGTTTTCAGACATTTAATTACACATTAATTACAATTAAATGAAAATGTATAATAGTTTACAATACAATTAACTGAACTTTAGAGTGCTTTAAAATTACTCAGTTAAGTGGGACTTACGTACATCTTTTTATGTAATTTAATAATTACTTCTATTTTCTTTGCAATATGTTTACTTTGAAATTACTTCTATTGTCTTTGACATACTGTTGAATGTACATTTTTTACTTAAGTGTGTTAAGAAACTTTAAGTACACATAAGTGACTTTATTTCATTAATATTACATTATCTGTAAGCACAGCTTATTTAAATAAGCTGTATATTTAAAAATATACTTTTAATATTTGAAGTACACTACAAGTGCACATTCAATACAAGTGTTCTTCCTTTTCTATTTTTTCACAATTAAAGACTATGACACAAGTGTACAAGAGGGTTTCAAAAGCTGAAATGAAAAAGCACGTGTTATTTGATGTAAAGTTGTAATAATACAATACATATATATAATACAGTAAGTCATTGATCATGATTAAAAAATGCAATATATATAAAGTGTATTGCATTAGTATATTACTTAGTAGTAAAGGTGTGTGATTTGTATCATCTAAGATAATATCATAATTGTTGTTTTAACGATGTGCGAGCTGACATTATCGAGTATCACTCACTTTGCAAAAAACAAAAACACATCGTTAGAGTACAAAAGCATTAACAGTGTGATGAAGCATATAGGAATGCAGTTAGAGTTACCCTATAATTCAAGTTATGAATGCAAAAATATCCCTGTATGGGATTTTGTTTTTATATTTATAAGATATGATATAGTTAAGCAATATCACATAAGCAAGAGTGCTGTTTTCCCGAATATCGGCACGTGAGTGTGATCGCAAATGTTGTATTGATTTTATACAACAGTTCAACAATCAAGAAGTTAATATTGAGTGAGTTACATTTTAGACACAATATTGTCTGTTTTTTCTTTTTCGCCAACGAATGTGTTTTTTTCCTGAATGAAAAAACTTTTTTTTGTTGTTCTGTTTTCAATGATCCATTTATAATGATCCATTCATGAATCAGCTGTTTTGAATGAATCGTTTGAGTGAATGATTCAATGAATCACTCATTAAGGGACTTAATGACTGGTGGTTTTAGTGTCATATTTATTTATCCATGACAGACCTAAACCAGTCAAGGTACCAGCACAAAAACACACTCAGCAAAATATCCTTTAATTACTGTTATTAAAAAAAATCTCCAGAATATTGAGATATAATTTTTTGTCAATATCACACACCCCTACTCAGTAGTTTGAGAACTGCACAGACTCATTGAATCTCTGGCTACAGCAAACCCTAAAAGAAGTCTGGTGTGTGTCCAGCTCTGCAGCAGATTATAAACACTCTCTAAATACTCTAAACATCACAGACCAATGGCTAAAGAACCATTTGAGCATATGTGACCCACGCTGGCAAAATGAGTCGAATGCACACGGGATAATTTTGAGCTACAGGCAAAAAAAGTGAAAAATTTCGATTTTGAGGTTTTCACAAAAATGAGTTCATTAAGCCCTCGTCTAGCGATCCAAATGCTCCAAATAATAATTTTAGATGTTTAATTACTTTTATTTGTACGTTTTCTGAGAAGAGTACCTTTTCTCCCCTCGCTTCTCACGCTAAATGTCATACGAAGCATCCCGATAAATATACACATATACACAAAATTACAGTATTTAAGAATTCACGCAAACATAATCTGTTATGTCTTAAGGGAACGTTTGGGGAACTGTTGGGGAAAAACTTCTGATGTGTAACATTATATTAGATCCGTGCATTACAGTAAATCTTAATATAGGCCGCCTCATTAATCTTAATCTAACAATAAAATAAAAAGAGCTGCTCTTGACTGAACTGCTTTTGTAGTTTTAATAATCAGTTTATTTGAAATTAACAGACTAAAGGGATTTTTACATTTGATTATTTGTTTTTCTTGAATGCTTTTGTTTATATGTAAAATGAAAAAGGTAATGCACTATTTGTTTCTTTCTTATATTTGTTCTGTTTTTTTTGTTGTTGTTTTTTTTGCATCTGTACATATTTATAATAACAAAGATAAAATAAAAATAGCTATATTGTGATGATTAATATAGTAGCTTTAACTCGATTTTTCTCAAAATTGACTTTGCTGACTCGATTCCAACAAATGATATATCATTCTGAAGGTATTTTAATGGAGAATATGTGTTACATATAAATAACTCATTTTTGAAAATGTGCTCATTGTGACTCATTTTGCCAGCACAGGTCACATGTTATACAGTTCTACTTAAGTATGCACAGATCACGTTATCATGTTCTTCACTTTTTTACACATCTGTTAAACCTAACAGAATGGAGGATAGACATCACGAGGAGGTTTGAAGAAACGCTGAATAAAGTAGACTCTTAATCTTCATCAGAGCTCTGTATCGGTGAGCACTTACCATGAGAACGGTCTGCCAGGCCGACGCTTCGTCCTCGCTGGGGTGAATCCCATGATTCCACCTCCTCTGAAGAACATACAGAACCGGCTCAACGGAGACGTTAAACTTGGACATCCACCTCACCTTCAGATGACCGTGCTGGTCCTCGGAAAAGGAAATGTCTCTCCGTGGCTTCAAAGGCACTCCTGAGCAAAAACAGAGACTTTGAGGTAAAAAAAGTAAATGTACAATGAATCAAGTGAAGTCTGTTTGGCCTATGAGGGTGACAATAAATCAGCTATCAGCTCAAAACTACAACAGTATATAAAAGCCTCACTGAGTATTTAACTCCTGCCTTTTACAAACAACAGCAGACGCAGCTGTGAATTAAATTTGGGTCAAAGAAAAATGGATGTCTGAGATGAAGGAAATCTTTTAAAAATCAAGCTTAATGAATTTGCCAGGTTCCTAGTAGTTGTTTTTGCATTCAAGTTAATTTCATACGTTTTAAACTGTATTGAAATATTTAAAAAATGCTTTACTACATATTTAAAAATATAATTATTATAATAAATGACATTTATATAAATTTTAGCCTTTTTAATGGATAGTCCATCAAAAAAAATCATCCTGATTGTTGTTCCAAAACTGTTTGAATTACTTTCTTCTAAAGAACATAGAAGAAGACATTCTGAAGAATGTTGGTAGCCAGACAGTTTCAGTTCAGACTTCCATTGTATTTTTGTCCAAACAATGGCAGTCAATGGGAACCACAACTGTTTGGTTACCAACATTCTTCAGAATGTCATCACATGCAAACTTACTTTTTAAAGACCTTTTAAAGAAACGTTTAATCAACTGTTCCATTTAAAAATAAAATACACTTTTTCTGACTTTTATTTCAGGTTTTACTTCAGGTTATTTAAATGCATCGACCATTCGCCCCATAAGCTGAGGTGTATTCCCATCCCAGCCTGCAGTGTGTTGTACCTCTGTAAAGGTTGGCCGGGGACTGGCAGGTGTGTCCACAGCCGTTTGAGCAGCACTTCTTGAAGCCGGAGCACTCGCGGTCGACCGCACAGCCCTCCACACAGGCAGCAGCGAAACCAGACGCCCGCTGGGCCGGAGGACAGTCACCCTGCTTCTGTGACCGCAGCGAGCGCAGGAACTCAGCACTGGTCACACACTCATGATGCTTCTTACCGAAGACACAGACACAGAGGTAAAACGCTAGATTTGAGGAGGCTCTGTGACCCATCCGAAGGTAGCTGCCAGCGCAATGCTGAATGGCTGCTAAACTGTTCTGAGTGGTTTTTACGGCATTGCCTGGTTGCTGTGGTGTTTTAGGTATTTGCTTTGGTGTTGAGTGGTTGTTAGTGCTGGTGTACAGTATAGTAGGGGTTTTAACAGTGAGTGTGAAAACAGAAACGTCTGAATATCAAACAGAAAAATCTGCATATCATTAATGTCAGTAGCAGAAACAGTTCAGAACAGGTAATGTGTTAAAGTTTAATACTTTACTATAGGCAGCCCACCAGCATTTTGTGGGACTTTTTCTTTCTCTGATTTTTGCAGCCTAAAATGACTGAATTTGTGGCTTTGCTCAAAAATTACGGTGATATCTGCAGGATTTTTTTCTGTTGTTTTGCAGTGAAAATCCACCAATATTTAAGACGGACTTATAAGTGTCAGTGACAGTAAGAGTAAAATTATCTGTAAATATTTTTATTCATTTTAAATATGTGTACATTTTATATATTTTAAGTTTAAAATTATTATTTTGGTAACATTTTAAAGACCAATTCTCACTATTAACCGGCTGCTTATTATGCATATTATGCTATTGGCTGTTTTTTAGTACTTATAAAGCACATATTCTGTATGACCATATTTTAGATCCTTTATTAATAAGCAGCAAATTAGGAGTTTATTGAGGCAAAAGTCATAGTTAATAGTGAATATGTGTTACCATTATTTCATGATTTTACAATTGAACAAATATATGATTGTCTATTATTGTAATTTTATTTTTTATGCATCTTCACTGTTTATAATAGTATTAGCAGTGATTGCATTCACTGCAATATAAAAAAGTGCATATCCAACAAAATACTTTACTTATTTAAATTTAATCTACTGGTGAAATCAGGCATTATGAAGTTTAGCAAATATTCGCCCTAATTATATTCAGTAGCTTAAAAGTATCACCAAACTTCTAAAAATGTTAATTTTGTCCCATGAGCTCAACTTGTAAATATAAACAAGGCATGTGTTTCTCTTACTCCTTGTTGGAAAGACAGTAGACGATTGTAGGTCATAAATTAATGATTTAGAGAGATTAATATATTAAATATTTCCCTCTGAACTTTGAACTTTTTTTTTTTTAAACAATTGCATAAAACGTCCTGATGCTCCATATGGCCTGTCCATATAGTCACTTTACACTGGAATTCACTGCAATACATATAATGCAGAGCTTGCTTGATTTGTGTTACTGTAAATTCTCCAACTGCAAAATCACGAAATCCTAGAGGGACCGTACAGGGTTTTGTTCAACTCACTATCCCTAATAGCAACAGTAATAGTAATGCTTGATTTAGCACACACCACTAATGAGAGGCAGCTGGAAAGTCAGGGAGTGACAAAAAGTGAAAGAAGGACAGACGCAGAAGTGGGACGCAGCGGTTAGACAAAGCCAGCCACCCAAACCATGAGCCACAAAGACGTCCGGCGGTTCCTGTGTGTCTGTCCTGTTGTGTGTTTGCACTGACTCACGCGCTCTAGCAGCCGTTGACACGCCATTCCTTACGGCCCGAGTCAAACACACATAACCTCTGATTCTGCACACACATGTGGCAGCGGGGAGCTCTGGAAACTGTTCATCTGCGCAACATCTCCAAGATTACTCAACTCAACACTTCTGTCAGTCTGAACGAGGCGCATGTTTCTTCCATTGGGTGAATCACAGAATTGGGAAAACAACAAAGGGCTTCACTGCGTGTTTCTAAGTGGCTGTGAAGAATTCTGGGTACTTATTACCCGATGCTTCTTATGCACAGCTGAACCACACAGTGCGTCCATGCCTTGAAACACTTCACGCTGACTGTTTAAATTAAGGCTTTGTTGAGATAATGATCACTGAATTTCAACAAGATGTTAACAGTTGTTGCGCTTTCTGCTAAGAACAAAGGTCTGGACGTAAACACGGCTCTTATCTGGTTGACTTCAATAACATGCTGATCTCCGCTGAAGGAAACATAATCTCTGTGTTCAACTCTAAGCCACTCTGGGGACATAGGATAAAAGGACCATAAAATCACACTGGAATTCTGAGAGTTGTTCAATTGCTGCTTCAATTCGTTTTAGACTAACGCACACAAAACCACACGCACGCTTGACATGTCTTTGATTGTGGAGCGTGACTACATGGCTCCGTGTGCTAATTCATCTCATTCAGGCATAAGCTCATCTCAGGCTTATATTTATGTGCGCATTGTGTTGATTTGTGTGGTTTTTAATCAGAGAAATGTCCCATGCAATTAGTCTTTCATTCACGGCTGTAACAATCTCCAGTCAGTGAAAACATACGGAGGAATTCTTCCGTGGAGAGACTTACCTCGCAGGTCTTGGGAGACAGAGCTCGTCTTGTTTCCCATAATTCCTTGCATGGTTGTAGGCACTGCAGACAAACAAATAAACAGTCCTGAGTACGGCCTATAACTTTTTAAAATGCCACGGATAGCCGTGGAGAAACAGAACACACAAGTATTTGCATGTGAGCACAAGGAATGCACTGTTACAGTACAGCAGCCGTGGGGACACGTTCAAACTGTGTTGCATTGTGCAGACGGCAGAACTACAAACTGTTGTGACAAGCTGTTTAAAATATTGACAGATTGATGAATATTTCATGGGTTCTAAATTTGACCAAGTCTAGATGTTGTCAGATTGAAATACATTTATACATATACGTTTATTAAGTTTTTTTCAGGAAACTTACCCCAACCCTAAACCTTGAGCAGAAATTATATTTTGCAAGTGTTTCTCAGAACAAGGTGTTAATCTGTATCCAAGTTAATTTTCACACACTCTTTCCCCTTAAAAGTGAACTATGCTGCATTAAGGCCCTGGTATACATCAAGTGAAATCACAGAAGGAACAGATGTCACATCATTTTGAAATCTGGACAAAAGGTGATTTTGAGTTCATTTTGGTGGTTTGAAAATGCTTGCTTTACCTTTTAATTGGCATTGGTACTCGATAGGTGGGTGAGAGCTCTACCGGCTTTGATGAAAATATATTTTCTGCTTTACTCTGCATTCACTCTCAGAAATAAAGGTACAAAAGCTGTCACTGGGGTGGTACCTTTTCAAAAGGTACACTTTTGTACCTATTAGGCTCTAATATGTACACTTTAAGTACTAATATGTACTTGTTGAGGTGAGGGAAGTGAGTTTTACCTGTACAGCTCTTACTATATGGCCTATGTTTCACTCACACCCCTCATTCTAACTACTATCTGGGTCACGGCACCAATAAAACTGGTCCAACTCGCACTCCTCCGAGCAGGATTTGAACCAGCGACAACCGACATGATAGGCTGGCATGCCAGTAAGGATGTAAAAGACTGCAGCCTTCAGCATTAGCTGCTTTTATGCCTCTTAAGGCCATGGGAGTGAGGTTTAACTACACTATTAACTACAATATATTCTTACTATATTCCCTCTGTTTCACTTACCCCTTATCCTCACTCCAACCCGGGTCATGGCACTAATGTAACTGGTCCAACTTGCACCACTCTGAGTGGGATTCAAACCAGCATCCAACATGGGAGGTGGGTTATACTATGAATGCTAAAGACCATAGCCTCCAGTATCAGCTGCTAGTGCACCTCTTGAGGTCAGGGGAGTGAGGTTTACCTGTACGTCTCTTAGTATCTTGCCTCTGTTTACTCATGGCCCTAAGCCTAACTACTATCCGGGTCACGGCACCAATGTAACTGGTCCAACTTGTGCCACTCTGAGAGGGATTTGTATCAGCATCAACCAGCTTGGTAGGCAGGTGCGTTACTTTATAGTCTCCATCATACTCACCCCCTAAACCTTACCACTATATGGGTCATGGCACCAACGTAACTGGTCTACTATGGTCACACCACTATGAGTGGGATTCAAACCAGTATAAACCAATATGGGTGGTGGGTGCTAATAAGGACGCTAAAGACCTCAAACTTTAGCATTAGTTACTAGTGTGTCTGATGAGGTCAGGGGAGTGAGATTTACCTGTAGAGCTCTTAGTATCCTGCCTCTGTTTACTTATGCACCTAAGCCTCACTACTATCCGGGTCACGGCACCAGTGTAACTGGTCCAACTTGTGCCACTCTGAGAGGGATTTGTATCATAACTTTGTTGTGATTATACCACATAATGAAAGATGAATGTATGAATTAATGAGCAGTTTCTCTTTCTTTATGAATGAAGTGTAAAATACAGCAAAACCTTTGTTGCTTATGTCGTTTCATGCAGCTCATAATTTTATCCAGGGTGAAGATATAGTTTCCAGTTTTTCAATGACAACTGCTCTAAGTTGTTGTAGAAGTAATTATCTTGGCTTTGTGCTGATGCTTTAATGATTACAATGGAAAACGATGTAGATATATTGGATATTGAATGCACTGTCTGTACAAACAGATTCGATTTCATTACTTACAAACTGTGGTCAATCCTAAAGAACGGATTTGTGCGAACAAGCCTTAGATATACAAGCATTCAAATATTCGATAAAAAGGATGACCACATTCGTTCCGTTTCAGAATCGAGTGTGTTGTTTCCTCTCTAATCTTAGTGATCGGTTCCCTGTGAGACGTGCTCCCGGTCGAACCCCCGCTGGCCGGGCCTCCAGTCGCTAATGTGCTGGAACATTTGAACACATCTGTTGTGTGTTATGTGATGGATTATTCTGACATCTGCCCCCATCTAACCCCCACCTGAACAGACAGCTTTCATTTGGCTGAACTCAAAGTCAAGACCACGTTCAAAAAAGAAGAAAACACAGAAAATAAGAGAGGAGAGACATGGAGTGAGGCTGGTTTCATCTTACCGCAAAGATAATCTGATTATCAAGATAATCAAAGTCTAAAACTGTCATTTATATCAACTTTGCTTAAAATGTTACGGGATTCTTTTTAAAATATGTTCTACTCAAATAAGATTGGTTTTTCTTCTGGTGATACCAGTGTCTAGCCAATGCCCATATCACTACAGACTGACAGTCTGCAGAAAGGAAAACAACCAAACTCATCCAATAGTAATACTGTCACAAGTACAAAATATACAAAAATAAATTCTTCAACAAAAACATAGGTCTGTCTGTAAGGTGAAGTGTGTTTTTATGTTAAAATGTAGAAATGTGGAGAGATATGTGGAGACAACTGAAAAAAAAAAAAAAACATGTAAGATTTGAAGTACACTAAAGCTGCACACTGATTGCAATTCAAGTTCCTACATATGTGGACAACAAGCCAAATTTGTTTATCAAACGATTATATGGGAATGTCAATTCATGAACCGTCAGTTATGATGCCCCGATGGAGTGTTTTCACCTTTCTGTCCATTCAGTTGAGGTCAGTATAGCTCCTGTGTGTCCAACCTCCATCTAATGACTGCTGACGGCCCTCAACACAACACAACGCAAACACACACACTGCTTGGCGAACACTCTGTCTGTGACTCATCAATATGACACACTCCTGAGAGGAAGGGGTGATGGGGCGAGAGCCAGAGATCTGGGCTGCATTACTGCATTTGTGAACAACAGACCTACCACAAACACTGCAGCAGGGGGTCAGCGCATGGAGACCAGTAGCTGTGACACAGGTTATCACAGACTAATTTCCCTGAGACAAAGGGCTCTGGCATGACAAACACAAGACTGTGGGATATGCTGATGGATGAATGAATGAAACATCTGCTGCTTCTGTTTACAAAAGATCTCAGTGTAACAGTGAAGAAGTAAAACCATCTGAATGCAGCTTCTCTTCACATTGAGGTGATTTGAAGTTTAGGCTGATTAGTGAGGTCAGCTAGTGAGTTTCTCTTCTGAATGGTGCTAGAATGGGGATAAACGAAGTGATGCTTGCTGGATTTTAGTGTACTGACAGCATGTTGAGCTTTTCCTAACAGTGCCTGCTACACTGACTACATTTACATGCACGGCAGAAAACAGCTTATAGTGAGAAAGCTGTGTTAAGTTAAGAATGCTGCTTATGTGTTTACATGACCACATAAAATCCCAGGTGTGTTAAACTGATTTCTCTTCCCTGAATCACTGAAACTGTGGCTCCATCAATAATTCATTTAAATATGGAGACCGAGCTGTTTTGTAAATTATCGCAACCAGGTAATATGCATTTACGTGATGAAGGCATAGCTAGCTAGCAAACTGTAGGCTGTAGTAAGTAACAGTAATGACAGTAACTCGCGATTGAGCGGGCAAACCACTGATGCTGATGCGCTCTAGTTATTAACACTATGAAGAGGTGTGTTTGATTTGAAGCAGCGCTGCGCAGACCGATCACTGTATGACATCAAAGTACCGTGAGAGCTATAGAGAGCTTCCTTATCCTTATGCCTTCGAAACGCTCTCGCGGTACTTTGATGTCATACAATGATCAGTCTGTGCAGCGCTGCTTCAGATCGAACACACCTCTTCATAGTGTTAGGGGCGGGGCCGTGCTCAGCGGCTCCAGTGCACCATCAAGACATGTTTGCAGGCCTGCCCAAAAAATCCTGAACACAAAAATGGTGAAAAACTATTTAACGGTCTAACTCCACAATTCAGTACTACATAGTTCACAGTCTTTGTAACATGTAGGGCTGTCAACATGGCTGAAAAACTAAATTAGAGTTTTGTACTTAAATATTATTAATATTCAAATTTAAAATGCAAAATTTCAGTTAGGGTGAAAAAAAGTATTTGGCTTTTCTCCTGAGACCACAAGAGGGCGCATCGAGCAAAATATTACTAATGCACGTTTATTCAAACCAATAAAATAACATGACTATCTGTGAAAAAAGTGCATAATGTTTAAAATAATGTTTATAAACCAATTATAATTAAGTTGCTTAAACAACTATAAACAAAACTGCATCATGTATGTATGCATAGTTTAATACAAAGCGCCGAAAGCCAATCACACAGAGTACTTTTTTCATTTAAAAACATGAGATGTAGTGGGATGGGAAAAAACACGCCATAAAGTCTCGAGATGTGTTTTAAAAGTTGAACTTGCATTAATTTTACATGGGTTTCTAAACATGCGGCTCTTTTGTGTGAGACACGAGTGCAACGCTGATAGATGTCCGTCTAGAAAATGCGCAAAATATGCATTCTGTGTGAATGGCTTGGTTTCAGTTTTGACGTAAACAAGATATTCTCCGCATTGATGTTCTCTTTTTCCGCAATATTTTTAATGAATAACGCAGCAGCGCCGCATCTGGTGGCTTCAACTGGATAGGCTAACAAAAATATTATAATGCAACGACACTTACATCGTCATCGCATCTCGTGCGCCACTGATAAGGCTGCCTCCTTAACGCACACCTAAAATTCGAATGCAAAAACTTTGTGGATTTTTATTTTAAATTCGACGAATATTCGAAATTCGAATTTTTTTTTGA